GAGAAACGGCGATAGCTGCGAGGCGCAGTCTAGTCTCTCATGACACAGAATCTCTGAGTCTTTCTTTTATTATTTATCCCCACCAGAGCCATCGGACACGGAGGGTACGTTCTACTTTAACCCAACACACATCGAGGCAGAGCCCTCACCAGTGCAGACGCATGGGTACCGAGACCGCCTGACCTGCTCTCTAAACTGGGCCGAGAAGCGAAGTGAAGCGAGTGGTTTCCATAAACCTCACGTGGACAGGGGGAGAATGAGAGGGTCAGAGGGGGAATACACCGGCCCTGCTTACACATGAGTAGCCTGAGAAAGCCCCCCCCCGCCCCCGGCATCTGCTGTCCTGTGTAATTTAGAGTAGGACTGACACTCAGCAGTACTAAGCAGCAATGTAGAAACATGATGTCTGCCCGGCTGGCGTGGCTCGGTGGTTGAGCATCCACCCATGAACCAAGAGGTCGCTGGTTTGATTCCCGGTCAGGGCACATGCCTGGATTGCAGGCTCAATCCCTAGTAGGGGGCGTGCAGGAGGCAGCCGATCGATGATGTTTCTCTCTCGTGGATGTTTCTATCTCTCACTCCCTTCCTCTCTCTCTAAAAATCAAAAGAAACATTTTAAAAAACGTATGTCCGGGAGACATGCAATCACCCTGGGAGGTCTCATCCTACGGGGCTTCCTTGTTCTACAGCAATGACACCCCAAAGTTCAAGAGGAATTACAGCTTCGATGTTGCCTTAGAGCGGGGACGGAGACCAGCCCTGGTGCACCAACAGGACCAAGGAGTGCGGCACCGACAGAGGGACAGGGACGTCCCACTGGCAGCCGTTGCTGAGCCGCGGTGGAGTCAGGTCCGCCCTGGGCTGCGGGCAGGGGTCGGGGGCACTGCCGTGCTGGCTGTCCGGCACCCACCCAGGTGCTACCTCTACCCGCTTAGTGGGCTTGGGCATCTGAGCGGGAACAACTTGGAAAGTTTTCCTTTTCCAACAGTTTCCATCAAGATGCTCTGTGCCTGTTCAAACAAATATCTGGGCATCTTTTCAAAACAGATTCTCTAAAAATATACAACTCTGCATATTTTAACGGAATTATTAGAAACAGATGCTTAGAGCTTCATCTCACAGAGCAAATACAGAACTTACATTTCTAAACTGAACTGGCGTTGGATCTGAAAACACTTTTACAAAGAATCGTTCTACCCGGAGGACACTGTTCGGAGAAGGACTCGGGGTGTGGGCTTTCATTTGCCCAGGCTCACAGGACTGCTTCCTCCATGTTACTTCCCACCTGCGTGAGCCCGGCTGCCCCACTGCAAAGAAGGCATGAGATACACTAGTCGTGACATTCGTCTCGCATTCTATTTATTTGCAGTCGCGCTACAGAAAAAAGGCGTTTAACCTTCAGCAAGATTTAAAAAAAATAGTTTAGCTCATGACTCAAAATCCCACATTTTCATTTAACAACCTTATAAACGAAGGAACCGTACTTCTACCCGGCGTCTCTTCTAGCTTCCACTGCTTGAATTCCTGAAGCATTTTTGGCTCTTGCACCTGCCTCCACCCTCCTGCCGACCAGGCTGCTGCTCTGAAGTTTAGGAACAAGTGTGACCCCGGGAAGGTCACCCTCCGAGGAAGGCTCTGGGCTGAAGCCGCCCTCGCGCATGGCCGACGCCCAGGCCCCCAGACACCTGCCCACGGGCCGTGCGTTAAAAAAAAAAAGAGCCCTGACCGGTTTGGCTCAGTGGATAGAGCGTCGGCCTGCGGACTGAAGGGTCCCGGATTCGATTCCTGTCAAGGGCATGTACCTTGGTTGCAGGCACATCCCCAGTGGGGGATGTGCAGGAGGCAGCTGATCGATGTTTCTCTCTCATCGATGTTTCTAACTCTCTATCCCTCTCCCTTCCTCTCTGTAAAAAATCAATAAAATACATTTTTTTAAAAATGAGAAGGGGATCAAGAATTCAAAAAATATCAGGCCAATAAACACACACCAACACGGCCATGTGCTCGCTGCTCCTGCCGGGGCCCTGCGGGTCTGCCGGCGGCTCTCGGGCGGCAGGAGGAAGCTGAGCAAGCATCGTCCCAGTCCTCGCTGAGGGACGCCCTGGGACCTGGGCCGCCTTGATGCCCACGACATCCTGGCTCAGAACACTGCCCCCACCTCGCCCCACACACTGTTCCCAGGGGCCCAGCCGCCCCGGCTCTTCTGTTTCTATTGGTTCTCAAATCCATCTACTTCCGTAGGTTTAACATTAGTCCTCGCGCACACAGCCTGCCCTGCAGCCACTGACGTAGGAACTGAGCGACCCCACGGAGGATGGGAATTTACCAGCGATTTCAACAGACACTTTGAGGTGATGGTTGAATGAGACCGACGTGGAATTCACATGCGTCTGAATTACTGTGTGGCATAGTTAAACACTTTTCAAAAATAAAGAAGGCATATTCAACTATTACTGATAACATTATAAAGTGAAATCAAAAGTTTTAATGCAGTTAATAAGTAGGAGGTAATTTATCAAGGTTAATGATGACACCTTACAATTTTAAAATGTGCATTTTCATGGTTCATGATGGACGTAAGTACACATACATCTCAAATGCACCGGCACACGCGTGTGAACAGGCAGCCGCATTCTTACAGGCTGTTCCCATCGCTCTGAGCTGCCAGGGAGGCTGACGAAACGTGAGTGCTGACGGCGCAGGCTTCTGACCTTGGAGAGCCAGGCTGCTGCTTTGCGGTGGGTGCACATCCTCATCACCGCGTGTGGACATCTCCGGCCCACAACTCTTAGCTATGTACAGACCGAAAAACGCTGAGCTAAGAATGAATTTCAAATTCTCTTAATGCAAGCCATGCCTTCAAATTTTGGTTTAAAAAATATGTTTAAGTTGTTTTAATTCTACTGTCGTGAAAACAAATACTCTCTTCTCTTACGGCTACAAAGTGACGGGAAAGAGAAAGGCGAGGGTTCTGGTGCTGTGTGCTTGCTATTGGCCTAGCACGAGGCTAACGGATAATGGAAACGCCAGGGACACGTGGGTCCAGTGCAGCAGCACCTGCAGGTAATACCAACCGACAGGTCAGCTCCCGGCCGCCACGGAGCAATGGCCCAGCACCTGGACATCAGCTCAGCAGCCCATCGGGGAGGCAGCCCATCGGGGAGGCAGCCCATCGGGGAGGCAGCCCATCGGGGAGGGAGCCCATCGGGGAGGGAGCCCATGGGGAGGCAGCCCATCGGGGAGGCAGCCCATGGGGAGGCAGCCCATCGGGGAGGCAGCCCATCGGGAGGCAGCCCCGCACCGGACGTGGCCAGTGACACTCAACAAAGAAAGGCCGGATGTGGGAAAACTCCCCAGAGGTCACGTTCCCCAAGCGGCTCCTCCCGCAGCCCCTGGACAAGAACGTCAAACAGATCACAGGCGGTCTTGATCTCAATACCGTAAGTTACGATGACCAACTGAGTATGTTGAAATAGAGGGCTTGTCTTAATTCCAAGTGAAGGGTCGGCTCCCGCCTGCAGTATCGTGCCAATTATTACTCCCCTACACAAATCTATCAGAAGAATTTCTGGGAAAAAGTAGCATTTCAAGTTTCATAACCTAACTATTCCCCATTTTTAAAACAATTGCCAGAGAGAAGAACAATGCCAGGCCAACATTTTAACTAAAACTTCCTTTCCTAAAAAAAACTGGAAAGGTAATGAAAGCGGAAAAGAGTTCAGTAAGTCTGTGTGCAGAGAGCAGTGTTACTTGTAATTTACATGTGATTCTTCCAGTGAACACGGACTGCTTTCGTCACTACCTGACTCCAGTGAGAGACACTGAAAACACAGAATAAAACGTAGCTGCTCTTGAAATGGCCCCAAAGAGCCACAGCCCGTTCCCGCCTCTCCCATCGCTAAGGGAGCCGTAGGAATCTCCCGGCAGTTCTCCGGCCGGGAGCGGGAGCGGGGACGTCTGCCTTGCCCCTGGGGACACAGCGGCAAGGGCCACCAAAGGGTCCCCCAGGTGACCAGGGCTCGCTCTGCAGCCAGGTGGCTGACACTGCAGCCGCCGGACCAGCACCCCTTGCTGGCA